GCAGGCTCCTCCTTAAGCCCGGCAGCTGGGTGCGCAGCCCTTGCGACATCACAAAGCCCTGCGTGCCCCTGCGGGTTCATCACGGGCGAGCTGTTGGGAAGCATGGCCCTGGCGTAAAGCTGCTGCGGAGCAGGTTGAAGAATTAAGCAGGAAGGGGGCCGGGGGAAGAGCAGGCTCCTCCTTAAGCCCGGCAGCTGGGTGCGCAGCCCTTGCGACATCACAAAGCCCTGCGTGCCCCTGCGGGTTCATCACGGGCGAGCTGTTGGGAAGCATGGCCCTGGCGTAAAGCTGCTGCGGAGCAGGTTGAAGAATTAAGCAGGAAGGGGGCCGGGGGAAGCACCTGACTCCTCCGGCCCTTTTCAGCGGGCACAAGTCCCGCTTCTTCTGCTAAGGGTTGAGAAGTCGAGGGTCACTGAAAGGGAACTCGTGGGCAAATCCACGCAGGGGAGACCTGCCAGTGTTTTTTAGCCAGAATAGCTGGTAGAACGTGTGGTCACTCACGGCTGGACTTCTGGCTTGGTCCAGCGGGGGGGGGGGCTTTGGGGGAGCCTGCCGGCCACATCTGGGATCCTGCAGGATCTCTCAGGACGGACCTCTGATAAGGAGTCTGGGGGAGGGGGAAGGGGGTCTCTGCCGGGTCCCCTCTTCCCACAGTCTTGCCTGTAATTTGAAGGACTTCGAGTCTCACAAGACTCTTTAATTAGACTCTGCTGACTTCAGTTCACATTTTAAGAGCTTCCTACCAGACAGGGGTCGTTTCTGTTCTGGCGTGTTTGCTCTTTGGCGTTTTTTAATTTAACTTTTTGTACAGCGTGTATGTAAACTGAGGAGTGTCCATGACTACTTATAGATAAGTCAGCTTCCAGCCTTCTCTAAAAAGGGAAGGGCGGTGGCTCAGGGGCAGAGCGGCTGGTGAGCAGGCAGACAGTCCCGGGTTCAGTCCCCGGCCAGGCAGGAGGTGGTGTGAAGAACGGAGACTCTGTGGAGAGCTGCTGCCGGTCCGAGTAGGCGGTGATGCTGACTCTCATGGACCGAGGGGGGTCTGATTCTGCACAGGGGGGGAGGGACTGGGGCTCCTCCAGGGAAGCGCCTCCGCTTGGGATGCAGGGGGTCCCTGGCTCCATCCCCAGCAGCATTTCCAGTTAAAGGATTGGGCAGCAGGCGATGATGAGAGAGGCTTCCTCTGCCCGAGGCCCGCAAGAGCTCCTGCTGCCGGCCAGAGTGAATGTGGACTTTGACAGACTGAAGGTCTGGCAGAGGGTAAGGCAGCTTCTGATCGTCATGTGACCGGTCATCTCCAGGTTTTGGCCTGGGGGGGGAGGGGGTTGTCTATGCGCGTTGGGATGAGACGTTTCCTTCTCCTTCCCCAGCAGGAAATGGTTGGATGTCAGGCACGGGACTCACATGATGAAGAACGTCTACCTAAGTCATTGTTAATAAGAGCGGGTGACGGCCACTAGCTTAGGGGGTGGAGGAGGGGGTGGGAATGGCTTCTGATCCTCTCCTGCCCTGTAGACTGCCTGGGTCAGCAACACTCGGAAAGAGCCGTGGCAGGCTTCCTTATTTATTATTTTGATTTATACCCCGCCCTCCCCGCAAGCCGGCTCAGGGCGGCTTGTTTCGGGCAGGCGCCCACGTCCTGCTTGAGAGCGTGAGAGGGCCCTGGAAGCTGCACAATGAATACACATGCGTGAGTCTGTGGCAAAACATCCGTCCTCGTGAGTACGTAGTGCCTGTGTCCTGTGTCGGTAGAGTAATTAACCGCAGAGGTGCACAAACTGATTAAAGTGCAGATGAAGCTCTACACAGGAATTACCATACTTGATCGTAAAGAGGAGAAACGCCAGCTGCAGGGTGTGTGTGTGTGTGTCACTGTGGGGCTTCACAGAAGAAGCAGCAGGATATTGCCCTCAGAGGAGCAGCCGCCCTTGGGAGACACTTGCACCTGATGGGAGAGAACCTCTATCCTCCCCAAGCGCCCTCTTCCTGCAGGGTCTTCGCCAACAGAATGCTCTTGATGGGCTAGCTGGCTCTTACATGCCCTGTACTGACTCTTTCAACTGTAAAGGTAAAGGTTCCCTGGCTCGAAAGCCAGTCGAGTCCGACTCTAGGGTTGTGGTGCTCATCTCCGTTTCCAAGCCAAAGAGCCAGCGCTGTCCGAAGACGTTTCCGTGGTCATGTGGCCGGCATGACTAAACACCAAGGTGCACAGAACGCTGTTACCTCCCCACTGAAGCAGTACTTATTTATCTACTTGCAATTTCTTGCTTTAGAACTGCTAGGTTGGCAGGAGCTGGGGCCCGGCACACTCGGGTCTCGAACTGCTGAACTACCGACCTTCCACAGCCCGCAGTTCAGCGTCTCAACCCCTTGAGCCACCATGTCCCTTCATGCAAAAGCGGAGAGAAGCCTCCCTGTCTGATTGAATGGGTCCACGGAACCTTCTGGGTGCAGCCGTGGCCGTCCGGGCGAAGTGTCTGGAGCCCTCAGCCGGTCATTCCTCCCAGCTCCAGCCAGGACAGCCGTGACTCCAGAGAGCCAGTTTGGTGTAGTGGATAGGAGCACGGACTCTAATCTGGGAGAACCGGGTTTCATTCCCCACTCCGCCTCCCCATGCAGCTGCTGGTGTGACCTTGGGTCAGTCAAAGTTCTCTGCTCTCTCAAGGGCAGTTCCTGTCAAGAGCGCTCTCAGCCCCGCCTGCCTCACAGGGGGTGTCTGTTGTGGGGAGGGGGAGGGAAAGGGGATTGTAAGCCCCTCTGAGACTCTTTTGGGTAGTGAAGGGCCATATGGGGGGTATAAATCCAATCTCTTCTTCTTCTTCTTCTTCTTCTGTGAATGCACAGAGATGGGGTAGTGTCGCAGCAGCTGGAGTGCTGGGCTAGGATCAGGGAGGGCCACGTTTGAATCCCTGGCCTGCACAGAAGGTTGCTGGGGGAGGGGGACCTTGGGCCAGGGACACACTCCCAGCCTGACCTGCCTCGCAGGGTTGTTGTTCTTGTTGTGAGAATAAAAGGGGGGAGGCTGTGTCGGCGGTGGCTTTGTGTCCCCATTTGAGAGACAGAAGGGGTGCAAGCAAAGTAAATAAAGTGCAGACTGAAAACACAACCCAGACCTGCCACGTGGATCGCTCAGGGATGCCGATTAGCCGCGCACCTTCTCTGCCCCGAGGCTGTTGGGGCGGCACTGGGGCCCCCTGTGTGTGCCTGCTCCTCTTCCAGGGGAGCTGACTGGGGGAGGCCGGGCAAGGATCCGCAGCAGTGGACCTCTGACTGACCTCTGCTCCGGGGCAGAGTGTTTGCCGGGAGGCAGCAGCAGGGCCCCTGGGCTCAGTCCCCGGCAGGCAGTGTCCCCAGCGGGAGGCCCGGGCAGGAGGGGATGGGGAAGGACCTCTTCTGCCTCTGGGGCGCTGGGGAGCGGCTGCCAGTCTGAGTGGGCAATATGGGCCCTGGTGGGCTGGGCTGGGCTGGGGGGGGGGGTCCGCCGAGTTAGGATAAAGCCAGGTCTGTGTGTGTGTGTGTCCAAGGCGCTGCTTCCAGGGGAGGCCCGCAGGTTGCAGCCGTCTGCCCTGAGGGGCTGTGATGCAGCCATCGGGAGCCCGATCCAGACCGCTGCCCTGCCAGGAAGCTCCAGGGGCAGCTGCGGCCAAGCCCGG